CTGGAAAGAAGTAAATTAAATAAGAAGTAAAATATTTATGTCGTTTTAAAATTTTTTATTCAAATTTTAGACTATAAAAAAATACAGATATTATTTTCACACTATACCAATTGAAACTTCTTTGTAGGAATTTTGGTTACCAATTCATCAAAAATTATTATTAGATGTAAGATACTTTTATGGTCAAGAATATATTATGACTACAAAACTTAATCAAGATATATTAGAAAAGTTATTTAGTTTTTTAAAAGGACTGGCCGGAAGTGCAAGCTACAATATAACTGCATTGTATTTAAAATACTGGTTAGAATTTATTTGTTTATAAGTTTAGTAAGATTACAAGGTATCATTTATAATTCAATACATTTCCTAGTTTAAGGTGGTCTATATTAGTTGAGAATTCTCACTTAGTATTCACTAAAAATACCAATACAGAAGATGATTATGAAGATAGACTGTTAAATGATTCAAATTGTATCACATCAGAGTTATTCAATAGTTCAGAATTTTCCAAGGATATCTGTAATGATATTGTTGATTCAAAAAACCGTAGTATTTGTGTAAAGGAAACAAATATTTCAAGATCAAATTTTAACTTTCTAGAACAATTTGAAGTATGTATGAGCTAAAAATGTTTAATGAACCATAAAACAACAAATACATACATTTTTTTTTTAGTTGCACATTAAAGAACCATTTGATCAAATAAAGGGAGAATATGTAGAATTTGTGGCAGTTGATGTAGCTAATCGGTTCTTAAATAAACATCCAGATTTGATAGATTAAGTTGCAGAAGAAAAAAAGTGTTGGACTAATTATATATTAAGAGACAAAAGCTCCTAAAATTTTTATTACATTAACAAATAAATTAATGTTAAGTAATGGAGAGTATAATATACCCAAAGAAGTGATAGAATGTTTTGTTAGAACAAGAACTTATATAAGGCTAAAAATTTAAATAATCAATTAATTTGTCAAAAATTAAAAAAAAAAATTTGCTTCATAAATAAATGTATATAGTAAGTAAAACTAAAACCAAGTAACATTAGGCCAGTTCACCTTAGGGTACTGTGCTGACAAACCAGCCTCTAGGCTGTAAAAAAAAAAAGTAACACTAATGTGGAGCAAATTATATGTCACATAATGCATATATACAATGCAATGCAATGAAAGCACTTCTAAATATTACGTTTACTATACACATAATTTTTCATTAATCCTCTATCCGTTATTAATTATTTTTCCACGATATTAAATATTCACGCATAAATGATAATATTATCACTATATTTATGGAAATTTCCCATACAAATATTGGGCCAATGCAATGAGGCAAATCAGCTATAGATGGGGTGAGGAGTAGGTTGAGTAGTATCACAAAGTTGCTGATATATCTATGCATTTTGTCATGCTCTCTGTATCGTTTGTGGCGGGTTGTCGTCGGCCGTGCGCCACTTGTTGGACTTTGCACTGTGGCGTATGGCACGCGTTGTTGTTCAGTCAAATACTCATAGTAGGGTGACGGCTGATAAAGATGGCACGAATCGCGAGGCATCGTGTATTACGAAACGACGATGGATCGTGTCAAATGTTGTCATTTTAATTATATACAAAAACTTTTAAAGATTTAATCATAATTTAAACTGCTTGTTATAATTCATATTTGTTAAAAAAAAAATCTCTTAATCAATATCATGAAACTTTCTTATTACTAAGACTCCTAATTAATGCATTAAGACGTTTTTTTCTGGCTCAATTAATAAATATTAATGCAATGTATAGTTTTTAATATTAATTATTAAATTTTTTTACTCGAATAATTTTTCTCTGTACAAAAATTTTAAATTCCCAATAGATTCTAAGAAAATATATGTCTTATTCTTAATTGACCACTCTCTATAAATTGGCGAAATTTCTATATTTTATAGTGCACATGACTTAAGTGCAAAGTATGAAAAAAAAATAGTTAATACTAGATTTAGTTAGTAAAATTCATAAAAATTCGTCCCTTATACTAAGGGCTGAATTTATAAATATGAAGGTCATCCCATAGTTGGACAATAAAAAAGTTAACTTGATTCCCCTTCAATTTATTTTATGTGACTTTTTTTTATGTATTACGAGCAAAAAAAGAACATATACTTATTATTTGGGGGCCTTGATCCTCACCTAAAATTGATTATACTACACAACATTTACTTACTTTGATTTAAAAAAAATATAAAATTTATTGTCATATTCTATTAATAAAATATAATATTGATGTCATATTTATTTTTTGATACAAGCAAAAATAAGATTTATTTTTACCTATTAAATATTCACATTATTTTTCAACAGCGGTGAATCCAAAAATGTAAATAAATTCTTTGGAAATTAGATGCATCAATTTTCTTGTATAAAAATTTTACCTGCTATTAAAAAAAAAAAAAATTAAGTCTTATAAATTTAATGCTATTTTGTAGTTAATTATTCTTACCTGTTATAATATATTAGTACTTTTCTATCATCTTAATAAGCTTAAATTACTATTTATGAATTGTTAGATGGTAGTTAAACAATGAAAACTTAATAATTAATAAAAATATATAACCTTATGGGTTAGTAATATCAACGTCGAATTATCGTTTAACTAAATGTAATTTAAAAGGTTATGTTAAAACTTAACATAATATCAATCAACAACTGTAAAGATTATTTTTTTTGGTCATATCACAGTAAGATTATTGTAATATAGAATTGTATCGGATCATTACTTTACGGTGAAAAGAGGATAGAAAAATTAACCAACCAGATGGACTGTGCTATTTATAATATAGTTAAGACCCGATTTGAATATATTATTATTATCTCTCAATTAGTGTGTCGTAAATTATTATTGCTATCTTATTTGTCATATATTGGTCAATATAAAATTAGTTTATGTTACACCATAGAAAAATAGTGATTTGTGTATTTAAAAACATTAAAATAACAATAGAAATTTAGTCCAAAATCATTTAACTTTAATAAGCTGTAACAGACGAACAGGCGAAAAAAAAAATTAAAACAGCAAAGTTGTTTGTATTTTTTTTTAAATCATAATATCAAATTCAAAAAGGGGTTCCAATTTAAAAAAAAACAAGTTAAGGTTTTTTAACATTGAAGATATGAAAAAAATTATATTTTAATCATAGATTTTACTGCAAAGATTTTTGAATCGTTAAATTTTTAAATAAATTCTTCAATCACATTAAATCGAATACGATAGAAATAGTAACTTGAAAGACAACATTCAAATAAAATCGTAGAAAATATTTTATCGTTTCTAGACAAATTCATCACAAAACTATTATATTTTATATTTTATTGCTAATATCATTAAAAAAAATGGCTCAATATTGTTTTTATAACAATATTTTTTAATAAATTCATAAAATTTGAAGATATTTTGATATAAAATCAATTTATTTAACTTTAATAAATTTATTTATTTATTTAACACTTAAAATTACATTAAATTTTTATAAGCATTTCGAAATTAATATTACCTAATTTAGAAAATATATATGACTTATTATAGTTTACTAATTAGTTACTAATTAATTAATTCTTAGATATGTTAAAGCTCTATCAATATTTTATTATTATTATGTTTCTTAGCAATTAACAAACAAAGTAAACAATCGGAACTAATATCATTTGAAATATTAAAAATTGAACTTATCATTTTAGTTTACGTGTTTTGTATAAATATGGCTAGAAATCTATTTGGAAATCTGATTACTGTTTTTGCTTCCATGATATATGACCCAAATGTGCAGAATCGTAGCTCTGAAATCAAATGGGAAAATGTTATGGTGCCAGTTAAGAGTATTGAAAATTATTCCATTGGACTTACTGAATGTACGATAAATTCGTCTTTACCGAAAGATATAATGACAACAATGACCAGCGATCTTTCAACTACTACTTCTTTATATACTGATTTAACTAAGTATAAGCAAAATTCATTGAAACACAAGTTGACGAAACATCGTCAGGTTAAGAAGAAAAATAAGTCTAAGATGAGGACGAAAAAGAACAAGTCTATGAAGAGGAAGAAAATCAAGTCATCTACTGTGATGTATCAGTCGGTTAAAAAAACGGTACGGCATATGTGCTCCTATTTATAATAACTAAATGATATTTTACCTATGGTCCTCATATTTTCTTGGTCGAAAATAATATTCATGTCAAATACGACAACATCATTGGTGTTGATGAAGGCCACTCCAAACAATCGCAATAACTTGTAAATTAGAGATTGACCTTGTTTTGAAAAATTTTAAAGTAAAGAATTATCCATCGAATTTTTACATTTCTTCTTTTTGTATGGTTTTTTCTTGCGGCGTTATTCGGTCACACTCATTATAAATAACCATTGTTTGAAATTTTCACTAGAAATAATTGGAGTTGTACTATTGCAACTAAAATTTAAATAATAGAAATTTTAAATTGCTCAAAACAAGGTAAATCGTCAATCTACGAGCCATTGCATTTGTTGAGTTAACCTTATAATTATGTCGTATGTTCATCATATTTAACATAGTAATTAAGGGGACCATCGTTATTAGTGTCACCAATCACAGCAAAATTTTGAGATACAGGACTCTGATAAATGGTTGTTTCACGCTATCAGTTTGGTTATCATAGTAGTTCTGGTTAGTCTATTGTGTGTTATTGTGTTGATGTTATATGTAATAAAAAAAGGATATATGATACATGGGAGGCCTGTTGAATATATCTTAAGATATTTCAAGGGTAATAGAAGATCAAATATTAACGATGAAATTCCACTTTACGATGACATTTGGATGGTTTAGTATAAAAAAATACTTTTTTCACTTTTATTAGTTCAATTTAAACTTTAATATATTTATAGACCCTAGTTTTTAGTTATATTTATATAGGTTTATTATAATGAAATTTTTTAATGCAAAATATTTTATTTATAATAATGAATTCATATGGAATAAAATATTTGAATTAGCTTTTTATGAAATCACTTTATTGTAAGGTAGATATGTGCTAGGACATTTTAATATGAAAATAAGTATAAGTATTTATTAGAAGAAATTTTATCGATTGTTCTCAATCAACTAATAAGATCTATATATTTGCTTAATATTAAGTTATAAAATTCGCATTACATTTCTGTTATAACCATTATATCATTTATTGTCAAGTCCAATACGGATCATTTAATCCGCTTTGAGTCAACTTAATGTTTTACTTCATATTTTTAACTGTGCATTAAGTTATCAACCGGAGACGGACTAATCACATGTCCCGAAATATAAATGGTTAAGAAAACCTCCCAAGTTATCAAGGTAAGTTTGACTATTCCATAATATATATAAATAGCTAAATTTACCAAATTTTAATTTGAGAAGTCATCTATTTTTCATTTACACATTTATATATCTTTTTTTTTACAATCAATCGAAATTAATTACACATAGTGGCGCATCTAGCGGAAAGACGGAAACCCTGTTTTCAGAACAAGCTTTAGGTACGGGTAAATAATTAGAGAACTAATGAAAACAAATATTCTTATATATATATATATATATATATTGTTATGCACACCAGCTTAGTCTTGTTTTATTTGATATTACTGAATCTGTTAAACAGTCGATGACGCTATTGGATTATTAAAAGTAATTTATGTATTTCGACTTTGCGTCATTAAATTTTATGTAATATTTTTCGAAATCCAAAATGATTATCACAAAGTTTTATAAATTCCTCACATATTTATGCAAGATGGGCCACTAAGTATAAATATATTCATTATTTTTTTTTTAATTTGAACCTGTTATTAAAACAATTGTCAAAAAGTTTGAAAAATAAAAGAGACCGCAAAAACCAAAGGGTTATTAAATTAAATATTTTTTTGATAAACTCTTTAATCTAACACTTTCTGATAAAATTGTTTATTTATTATTATACTTTCAATGCACTCACATAGTCTTGACATATCTAAATATTTCTATAAATTATGATAAAAAAAATACAATACAATTTTAGAAATATCTTTATATTTTATGAACCGTTCATCATACGTCTAATTGTTTTATACCAAAGATATTAATTATTTTCAATATAGATACTACTATAGAATAAAAAAATTCACCAGTGAAAGTTCACTTGATAAGGTTTATAATATTAATTATGTCAAAGAAAATGATGTATATGTAACACCAGGCCCCACTGAATAAACGCAGCGCCCGGTGGTATTCACGCGGGTTTGTTAACGTTCGTGGTTTTATTTTGTCTTAAATCTTTGGCTATATCGAGGATAAGGAATAATGTGAGTGCACTGTATGAGTGAGTAATTTTACATTATATATTTATAACAATTAAACGTATTATACAAGAATTACAAAATTTTATATACACCAATGTGGACAGAGGGAACACTTAATACTAAAGCCACAAAGGCGCTGATATAAACAAGTAATAAATTATAAAAGTGAGTAAGTCTTAAAAAGAATATAAACTAGCATTATACTTATCAGCTAATTTTAACGGCTGGTGTTAATGTTGATTATTGAAAGAATCAATTGATATCAAATGCATGCAAGTAGCTGACCATCGTGTACAATATGCTGTGAACGGTACTGTGATGTATCTCAGAAAATATATAGACTCAGCGGCGATATACTGAGTGCACAGGGTGCGACAATCGCAAAGGTGATATTTTTCTTTTTACAACAAAACGAATACAAAACTACTGACTAGCAAGCACCATAGAGCTTATAGCTAAAAAAACGCTAAGATGATGGCGACAATTCAGACATAGAGAGGACCGACAACAACTCGATGTAGCACAATAATAGCATAAATAATCACAACACAATTTCGCGACAGCATATTGATGTGTATCTAAAGTAACCAAACCCTCTAAAGTATAGAGAAGATGTACTTCTTATATCTTAAATTATAATTTGTTAGCTACTTTGGACAAATATAAGCTAAATGAAATTAAACTTATTATATTTTTCTTAAATAAGTATAAATAAATTTTTTATGACAAAAATAAAAGGATCATTAAATCGTTAAAAATACTGGACTTGACTTGGATTTAGTATTATGTTTTCTATTTATTAACACAATAGCCTGATGGCAAATTATCTGATTATGGCTGAGTATTAAAATATAATTTTCTAACACAATAAGCATCATCCAGAAAAATTTTTCGGGTGTCGGATTCCTCAAGCGGCAGCGGTATTGGTAGTGACGTCATGTCTGTATGTACTGTTACATATATTCAGACATGATGTCACAATTAGTATATAAAACATTTTATCAAAAATTGCTGTACACCGTTGCGATAATTTTATTATTATCATGAATATGATAACAGCGTTTTAAAAGCTATTAGTATTATTAGAGGTTTTTAAATAATTTGATTGAAAATTATTAAGTAAGCAAGTATGTACTTCACTCGGTTTTTGGAAATGCTTTGAGTCAAAATTATTATTACCTGATAATAATAATTTATTACATTATTCAATACCTGCGTACCCTTAAAACGCAGCGTCCTCTGGTTTTCGTATCATTCAGTTGGTTCACGATTAAGGTGTTTTATAACAACAAGAAGACAATATTAAGAAAGACATTATGACTAACGTAAGTGTTAATTTTGTTGACTTATTTAAAAAAAAATTATTATTATTATAATAATACACCAGAATACGGCGGCGAGGAGTTTTTTAATATTTTGAATAATATCAGAATTGAAGAAAACAACTCGCCAATTTACCGGGGTGTTTTCGGTAACATAATGGTTAATCCTGACAACGAATTACGAATTCAGCTGTCGTATAGTGAATACGGTGCAATAGCGAGTATTATTTAAAAAACAAAAAAATTGTATAAAATAAATGTAATAAAATAAATATTTAAAATTAATTATAGACCCAGAACTCTAATTATTCAATTTATTTTATCGATTCAATCTCGAATCTAGGCCAATAATTGAATCATGTGATACGGTAAGCGGTGATGATGAACATATCACCTCTTGAGCTCGAATATGTTTCCTGAGCTTATAAAGGAGAGACAATAAATAAACCGGTATTTTCTGATATAGGTAAGTTACTTAAATATATATATTAATAATAAAAGTACGTGTTAAACTAAAATTTGCTTTATTATTATTATTACTATTATAGATTCGGGTGGGGTGACTAGTTTAAGTAATTATACCGATTGTGTCGTGGACCATGCACCACTATTCATTCATTCGTTGAGAGAATTAAATGAACCGATTGCCCACTGGACTCAAAACAGCAACCTGAACTTGTTCGCGAGAACATAATAAATGGTAAGACACTTAAATATATGGATACAATCATGCGTGTGTTAAATTAGATGTAATATTTATTATTATTTCAATAGCCCCTAATGAATGGGGTGAAGACAATGACTGCCACACAAATTCATTCCTCATACAATCTGCAGAAACAGGGAAATGATTTGATTTCATGTAATTTTTTTAATATTTATGGATATATAATATTAATAAAGATCATTTAATCTCGACACCTTTCTTATTTATTTATAAAACATTGAAATAATATAGCATAAATAGAGAAAAAATACTTTTTAATGGTGATGTACATAGAGAATATTGTGTAAAGGTGATGGTGGTGGTGGAGGAGATGGTATTCGGTCAACACCTAATGGCCATGAGTCAACTATAAAAATGACCTGAATGTATATGATAGATTTTTACTCTAATTCATAGTTATCATTTATCGTTGAACACACATATAAACAGACATAATTTTTTCTGACTTGATATTTATTATACGTTTTTTTTAAGTTACTTATTCAAGTAATATCTTAGTAATAGTTTAATATTATTTAAGTTATTAATAGTATTAATTTTAATTATAGTAGTCTTTAAGCATTTATATGCGTTTTGTTAAATTAATCTTCCCGCTCTTATATTAGTGCTAAGTTTTTCCATTAATAGTCTTATAGCTTCTAACATAATAATAATAATATTTTAGATCTAATTTTTAATTGTTTATTTTAATTTATAACTGCTTAATTTAATTTTAACTGCTTGATTTTAAATAATCCTGGTTAAAAATGTATTCCTGTGGTAAGTGCACGAATTTTTTTACTCTAATGCAAAATTTAAGACATCACCAGAGAACCCATATCTGTCACCCATGATCAGTTTGTCAAGTGGATTTCAAGTATCCAGAAGATCTAAAAAAACATTTTAACAAACACAGTAAGTAACTTTTTGGTTCATTTTACTTAAAAAACTATTCCAAATTAAAAATGATGATATAAATATATCTTCTTCTTTCTCACCTTAATCCCAACTACTTTGGGTTGGCCACCCTTATTCTAAACTTCCACTTGGCGCGATCTCCCACATCCTCTACATTTACATCAAGTGTCCTCATATCACATTCAATAATATCTCTCTATCTCTTTTTTAGTCTTCCTCTACCTATTCTTCCTTCGACATTCATTTCTACTACTGTTCTTACGGCTTCCGATTCTTTTGCCCTCATAACATGATCAAATACGATGATATATATATATATATATATATATATAATATTTTTTTTTTCAGTCGCTAATTATAAAAAAAATTAAATACTATTACGAGATTAACAACAACTGTGACTAAGTATTATAACCTATACATCGAATTACGATAATAATCTCCGATACATACCCTCGACTTCTACATATCAAGGTAATTTAATACAAAAAAATTATCACGTTCTAAATACTAGAATATAATATACTTATTTATAGTAATAGTACCCCGAGTTATTCCAATAAATAATAATAATAATAACTTTCTTAATGAAAATGTTAAGATTATAAATTTTAACCGTTTAAAACCAATTATTATTATGTTTTTAAATTTATAAATATGTTTTACCTCATTATTATGAGGTTGTTTTAAAACTTATACAGTTTAATGATTGTTTTATATAAATACATAAATGTAATTTTATATTGCTTATTAAAAAATTATTTATTTTTTCAAAGTGGTATCCTATTGTAAAAATTTTATATGTCCATATAAAATTACAGCAATTTGAGGGAAATATAATAATAACTTAAAACCAATATTATTTTTTAAATGTTAAATAATAAATGTTGATGTATTATTTTTATTTGTTCATTGATACATCATTATTTCGGTGGCCAAATAACTATAGGGTAATATTGTTATAATGTTTCTGTAATTAAAATTAATAACCTCTTAAAATTAAACTAATGTTATTATTATAAAATGCATTTTATAATAATATTACTTTAACATTAAATTGATGTGTGGGGTATTGAGTGCGTGTACGCACTTAGTTTACTAAGTTTACTCGCACAATAGAGAATATAAACTTAAATTAAATTTTATATGAGCATTTCGAAACTCAATTTTTCTTTTCATCTTTTCAATCTAAAATAAAATTTGCTTTATATTCTCAGAAAAAAAAAGTATTTACTCAACGACGGCTCGTAGATTAGACGACGAGACCCCTTACTAAAATAATATGTATATTCTTAATTCTAGATTTTTATTAAAAATGCAAATTTTTAAATAGTACAATAGTTGTAATACATTTGTCGTATGCGAACATTTAAATTGTTACCCTCAGTATATATGGGTACGAATGCACACACTAGCAGTGTTTGGACGACCGGCAGCGTCATTCAAATAATGGTAATTTATTTTTAGAACTAACTGCGGTACGTTCGTCGTTATCTCCCTCTATATCCTATTTTCGTAAGTCCCTCAAAATATAGCCACCTGGAAGAATTTTTGGTTTTCTGGGCTTTAAAGGTAAATTATACTTAAATATACTAATTATATAAAATATAATCAAGTTTTAAATACTAGAATATAATATATTTATTTATAATGATGATATTGTAGGACCTGGAGTTATTCCAATAAGTATGGGGTGGAGAACAAGCTGATGACGAAACAAACGCCTACGGTTAAATATGGTCAAGACACCGGGATTTAATTTAATTCAAACCGCTTTCAGAGGTATGGCTAAAATATTTTATAAAAAGAATATGAATTTATATCAGCAATTTCTTGACGAGACAAAATCCGAATTAATTGACTTATTGATGGATTGTTAGTCTCTGAAAATGTGATTAAATTCGGGCTCCAATTTGAGGGTACATACAGCGTTCCATACACAATTAATGAAGAAAATAGGTCTTTTAAAACGTCTGCCCATTCACTTGTTATTGGTAATATAAACGATTTGAGTAGTATAATCGACGAGGAAATGTCTAAATTATTGTATGAAGAGGAGGTCTACTGTGGTAAGGGTTCAAATTTCACAATGGATACAGTCGATGGATTATTACTATGTGTATATAAGTTCATTCCGCTTAGCGGTTCTTTATTTATAAAGTTACCTGAATGTGTTGAAAACCGTAAGGCAATTAATGTAATGAATAATGATGATTTATGTTTAAAATATAGTATAATGACAAATAATGTTAATGCAATAAATGCTAATCTTGTTAATAATTACACAAACGTCGATGAAAAATATAATTTTTCAGGATTGACATACCCTGTGCCATTAAAACAAGTAAGCGAATTTGAAAAAAATAATCCTAACGTGTCAGTCAACGTTTACGGGTTGGAAGAAAAACGCACTGGAGAAAACCACAGAAGATTAGATTACATCGTCGTGTCGTATAGGATTAGTAAAGTGGAAGGCCCTGACCATGATTTGCTTCTTTTCACCGACGGATCAAATAACAATAGCGATAAGTATCATTGGTGTTATATTAAAAAATTTTCTCGTTTTATTAGACCTCAAATCACTAAACATTCAATCTCATTGGCCATATGCAAAGGTTATTTTAAGGGACATCATGATAAACAGGTATACCCTTACGTTTAGCTGAACATAAGAAATGATGTTTTTTGAATAAACCTCTAACACCGATTATGCCAGACCCCAATACAATGTTAAAATTAAAAAATTGGGATAATATAAATAAATTATATTTTGTTATTTATGCCGATTTTGAAGCGATGTTGATTAAATATTCGAACCAAACGCATCAATCAAAAACCATACATAATCATGAAGCAATGTTCTTTGTGTACATAGTTCAAGTTAGCGATGCTGTACCACGGGTATTACTAGAAGAATTTCAAATACAGCTTCACCCTGTTGAATATTGTGGAAGTAATAGAAACGACAATGTTGGTAAGAAGTCTGTTGAATGTATTATAGATGTATGTAAAAAAATCGAGCGATTACTGGTTTACATTATCCTGGATTACACGCAGGCGCGAATCCAGGATAATTTTTTTGGGGGGACCATTGCATATCATATAATTATCTTGGATATATATATATATATGTGTGGCGCATTCCATACCAGAAAAGGTTTTAAAGTCGACCTCTCCAATTTTTTTGAAAACTTATCATGTTTTTAATACCGCCAAAAAACACCTTCATGAATTTTTACAAATTTTTTTGATCACTCGTTTCTTAGATATTGATTATTTCCAAAATTCAAGGTTTTTTTTCAAATAGCAAAAAATACAGTTACCGGGGTTCTGTTTTTTTTCAAAATTTTTGTTTTTTAATGTTCTTTTAAGAAAAAAATGCTTCTTTGATCTTTATTAATTTATTTATAGTTTTTTTTAAGTTTTAAGCAAAAAAACTACTTTTTCGAAATGTATGGCCCTTTTGATTTTTTTAAAAAAATTCTCAAAATAAGTTTGACGGTACAGATAATAATTTATGTTTTTGTTTATTAATTAAATTGATATATCGAAATAATATATATTGTAAATAATAAATATTTCTTTACATTTTTTAGCTAAATCAACTTTCTGACACAAAAAAACTTAATAATCAAGATACATAAGTAATGCCATTTATTATATTTTTTGTATCATGCAAGTTATACATAAATTATAAAGCGAAATCTAATTTTCTATTGGATTTTGAAAATCTATCAATGACTTTAGTGACCTCTACATTAATATCACGATGAATGTTCAAAAGAGCAAGTTCAGTTAATCTTGTCTCTGACATAGTTGACCGGAGCCATGTTTTTAGTCTTCGTAGTGTGGAAAATGTCCTCTCAGCACTTGCATTACTTATTGGAAGAGTAATAAAAACAGTTAAAAGACGATTAATTAATGGAAATATTTCTTCGTCACAATTTGCCAGAATTTTCATTACACATATGGAATTGATCAAATTGTTTTCAATTTTTTCTCGATTCCATTTTTGTTTCCATAATTTAAATTCGAAACGTAATAAAAAAGAAACATCTTTTTTTTCATTTGAAAGAAGTATCTGAAATTCGTCTGCTATTGTTTTAATAATATCGTCTGATTCATTTATTGAATATGAAGTTGAATTTTCCTTTAAAAATTTTCAGGAAGTAAATATGAAAGATTAAAGCAACTAAGTGTTTTATGAAAGAATTTAAATGTTGATGACCGACATAACGACGTGTCTGTTTTCCTCCTTTTATATGTTTTGAATAAGGAAATATGTAATCTTTCGGCGGTCACCAAGGATTTTCGAGAAGCTGATGTTTTGTAAAATCATCAATAGCCTTCCCAATGTATTGACCTATATCATTAGAGTAAAATGTTTGTGGTATTTGAGTTGAAGATAGTAATGATGTCTGGGTTGAAGAAGTACATGAAGATGATGATCGACAAGGGGTTATAAAAGATGATATTTGAGACATGTTTGATGTATACAAATCGACTGTTAATTGAAAAGACGGTGTATCATTTTCTAAATTAGATTTTTTGGCAAGTAAAAAATATGAATTAATTGTCCTTTTTAATTTATTTTTCTGAGATAATTGCGCCTGTGAATAAAATAAGAGTAATGACAACTATAATAATTTATGTTAATATAGATAATTAAAATAAAATATATCCAAGTAAAACATTGATTGTTTTGTTTAAACTTTGAGGAATCGTCATTGTCACACTATACGTTAATAACTTATTATTACCTATATACAGTTTTATACAGTGACCACATGTTTGAACCTTATAAGAAAATTTGATTACAAGAATGTATTTTAAGTATTAATATCTTTTTTGTCATTTTTTAAAAATAATTATAAGGTGTGAAAGCACAAAAAATAAAATGATTTGAGTGCGTGCTGAAAAGGTTAAACTCAGAATATTTTAAAGTGGCGTTCAAGTGAAAACCCACAGAGAAGAGACCAAGAAGACATCCAAAGAAACGATTGGAAGGAAAATGTACAAAATCGAGAAGAAGAGTAGAAAGAGGTGTTAGAAGCGGCAAAAACTCTTAAAGAGCTGTGATTTAAGAAAAAATGTTAAAATTTAAAATTTTATGTTTCTCCAAATTTTTTGATTCTAAATTGAACATAAAGATAAACTATTCAACAATACTTTAATAAATAAGTTTATTATAATACTTTTACCATAAAATCATGAGTACAAACTTAAATGATATCAGGCAAATTAATATATTAGTGTATTATTTAACTCTATGTATGATTTATTATGATGATAAGAACATTTTTACCAATAATTTATACTTCGATGATATTGAAGTATAAATTATTATAGGTAAAATATACATAATATAGATTCTTTGAGTGTCATATTAATTAAAAAATAATTAATTGTATATTACTTAAAGATTTGTTTGCATATATATATTTATATAAGATAATAAAATAGACTTAGATATATTATATGATTTAATAATAATAACTTAAATGATCAAATTATAAATACATTTTGTATATTCTACAAAATATTATAAAACTACAAAAAACGAACCATTTTTAAAGATGATAGATTATACTTTAACGTTCGTATTACAAAAACATTTGTATAATGACAATGCCAAACGCATTGAACGCGTGTAAATCCAAAAATATAAAAACAAAGAAAAAGTACTAGTGATAACGAATCGTTATTAACGATTTTCGCCTGCATGTTATCAGTAGATGCGAATAGAAATTACCAAACTATAAATAAAATTATCTACTAAACAATTTATCTAATTAACTATACTAATATGTTATAGAATGTTTTTATAAATTGAAAACAATTTTCAAATTTATATAACATTTATGACTTATTATTTTTTCGCAAAATAATATAATTGCTGAATTTTATACTACAACAATAAAATTTGGGGGGGGCCATCGCCCTCATGGCCCCCCTTGTATACGCGCCTGAATAGACGGATACATATGACACGTGATGATTGAGACTTTCGTAACGAATTTCTTTGTAGCGGGTTTTGTTCTCTATGTAAAAGTACTTTTCCATCAAGAAACCCGACAGTACGAGATCTTCATCGTTTAAGCGGAGATTATCGAAAAATGGTTTGTAATTTATATAATTTAAAAATAAAGACTCCAAACTTTGTACTGGTATATGCACATAATAGTCATATAATAAAAGCTACATACTTAGAGAACTGAACTTTAGTGCGGTTGGTATAACTTGCGTTCCGAATTCCGAAGAAAAATTTATTTCATATTCTAAATTTATAAGTAACACATTTTCAGTGCGCTTTTTAGATACCCTAAGATTCATGTCTGCTAGTTTAGATACGTGAAGTTCAAATCTTTTATAAGCCGATAAATCTAAATTTGAGTTTGTTTTTTCATCGTATTAATAGAAAGATTTAGATTTGGCATTTAGAAAAGGTGTAGTTTGCTATGAGTGGATAGATGACTGTGGTTAACTCTCTCAAACCTCTCTACCCTTAATTGAAGAATTTTACAAGTATAATATATTACTGTAATTAATTAATTGAAAAAAAAATAATAATAATAAAATATATTTATCATTTTAGTTCACTATCTGAAAAACATAATTCTACGCAAGATTATGAACACGCTCAAAATGTACGGAAACGGTTCAATCATAAAACAATAAGCACAGCACCGGGTTTGTCATTTGATGCAATGTTAAAAATAACGAATGTCGAGCTAGAATTGTTAAGCGACTACGATATTACTTACTTTTTATGAAAAACAGAATTCATGGTGGTCTTACGCAAGCTGTGAAGGGATACAGCAAGGCGAGTAATCCACAACTGTCCGATTAACGCAACGAACTTGTAAGTTAAAAAAAAAAAAATCTGTATTCAAATTTATAACGAATTTTATTATGATTATAAATTATATCACATAGGTTGGGCAATGTCACAACCACATTGACTACCCCGAATCACTACATGATGCACACTCAGACTTATTTTATCTGAGCGAAAAAATTTTACCGCCGTGTTCTATCGTTCCTAAATTATGTGCTACTCTAATTAATAAAAATAATTTTATAGTACATTATTCCGTTTTGAAACAAGCGACATACGTCATAACAAGGGACCTAGGATATTGCAATTCGAGCAGAGTGCATGGTTGTCAAAATACATTCAACTCAACATGGACAAACAAAAGATAGCCACTAGTGAATTTTTATAAATGAATGAATAATGCTGTATTTGGTAATTAATAATAGTATTGTTATTATTTAATAGAAGAGAATGAAAATGAATTTAGTTATAAATGAAAAAACATTCAAACGGTTGGTTAATAAAGCAAATTTTAAAAACGTAACGATCTATGATGAAACATTTTGTGCAGTTCACCTAAATCATGATGTTGTTACTTTTGACAAACCAATATATGATGATTTTTTTTTTCAGAAAATTAAGGACCGAAGGAAAACTAGCATTTAGTAATTAAAAATTATTATTATTATTGATTTTTTTAATAATTATAAATGATTATATAATTCTATAAAAATACCACCATTGACAACTACGAGATTAGTAAAGGTTATCAATCCATCACTCAACCACCTGTTGCACACAACATATATCACATTAGATTTAATTATTTATTATTAAAGGATGGGGGGGTTATAATATTATTATTTCTGAGATTTTTTTTTAAATTACACACATATATATATATAATATACACTAACACACTCTCAGTACTTACTACTAGATCACTGGTTTTGTGCAGGCGATCCCTCCCACCTCCAGTGACTCTAATTACACTCATTACACACCAATAGGTTGGACAGTTCTCAAGTGGTATATATTAAGTTTTTTTTTAACTTAAATTTTTGTAAATTGCATTTATAACAATAATATATGTAATTACCTGTAATATGTATTGTAACACAATTTTTTTTTGTAAACTATATTCATAAAAATAATGTTTCTATAAAAATCTCTAACAATAAAATAATTTGTATAATATAATAACAATAATAATTTTTGTATTTAAAATTGTTTATTAAATTTATTTGTAAAGAAAATAATAAAGTGCAATGAATAAGTAAAAATATTTAAGTAATGAATTTTATAAAAAAAAATTATATTGTACATAAAATACATGAGTAATATATAATTAAGTATTAATTTTAAACCAATTTCTAAGTTGAAATATTTCATTAAATGTACAATGTTTTGAATTTTAACATTGTTCTCACTGGTCTATACGTCGCATACCCAAACTTTCCAAATTAAAAATGTTCGTGGTTGGTATAAACTCTGAAAGTATTTGTTGTCTTTTTACATAAATGTATTCAAATGGCATTGAGTTTAAAATTTCCTGAATTAGAGAACTTTCAAAATGTCTAACATTTTCTGACATAAAAAGTCTATGTCTATATTGTCTATTATATATATATATTCCGCGATAACCATTTATTCACATTTTAACTTTTTTCCAATTTTTGTATTGTAAATGTATGTTTAAAAATCCATTGTTGTTTTACCAAAGAATCAACATCTATTACTGATAGTTTTTTAATTAAGTAATTATTCTCCGATCCGAGTATTCACTCCACATCGATTATACACGTAGACATTATATAATTATAAAAACACACACACAAATAACAGATGTGTTTTAAGATTCACTGTACATTACTTATTATTTTTAGTATTTTGAGTTTACAATGTGATATTGTAGGTTGTTCATTGTTTATATAGGGATTGTGATGGTGCCATGTTACCATTACCGTGAGAATTATTTTAATAAAATACAGACAGCACATCGGCTTCCTGAGACTGATGAATTAACAAATAATATTTCTTGCCAAATTGACAATAGTTCTAATTATTATAAAAACCCAAAAGACCTGACCATCGTGGTCAGTCGACTCCAGTGACTTGTGTCATTCATCAGTCTCAGTACTCGGTTGTCGCTGTCTGGTTTACTACTTAAAGTAAAGTCCTTGTATTTTCCTTTTTAAACCTATCTATTCTCTTTTACAATATTTCAGAGTACTTGTGTCTTGCACTTCGTCTGCACCTCATACCTAGGTGTTACCCTTATTCCCTTCCTATAACAACAGCCTTTCGACACCCACAGCTAACCCGGAGTGTTAGCCGAGCACGGTGACTGCTGTACGACAACACGCACGTGAATACCTAGACAGCAGGCACCACATCCTCATCTTCATCTTCGTACACATTACATTTACACCACACCTTTCCATTTTATTGTGTTGCGACAGGATCTTGAATACCCTCCTCAAACTATGAGTGAAGATACATAGTGTAAATATTTTATTCACTTTTGATATTGTAAAAATTTCTGTTGACCAGTTGGGGAGATATTTTTTATCAAAATAATCCTTATGGATACTCACTCGTACTTTATCGCCGATTTTATATTTTATACGTGATTGAGGTATTATTCATTCTTTTAGTACAACACTAAATGGATTTTGTTCTGCTTCACTTGGTGTCATTGAAATTGTTTTATGTTGTATGTTATATTTGTCCGTTATAGTCTGTATAATTGAAAGCCAGTCGTATGATCCTCTCGAAGTAAATTCTTTAGTGTTCTATTAAATAGTTCTACAATACTCGTTTTCAAAGAAGAAAATATTGAATATCTTTTTACTTTATATTTTTTTATTAATTCATCGAAATATTTGTTATAAAATTTACCCCTCCATCGCATTGTAATAGAGATTGGGATTGTATTTTAAATATTTGTTCCATTACTAGAGCCACTTCTTTACCAATTTAGTTTTTAACAGTTTTGTATTAGCGAATTTCGTGAAACAATCAATAACTGTTAATAAAAATTTATACCATTTATTAACACTAGAACAAATAATGCATTTCGACCAAATATGTTTCCCAAAAATTATTTTTACTATATACATTTACTTATCTTCTTACAAAGTTACGTCTCGTACCTCTATGAAGTTCGAGGGTGATATCACGTTTCGTCTTGAGAAATTTGTTTTATAATTTTTGCTTCTAGTAATTCTCGCCAAATGTGATATAATTTTGTACGCCTGTATTACCTGAATCTTTCGAAGCCAACAATAATTTTAATTTTTTTTCACTAATTCGTTTGGATTATCCCAAAAATCGTAACTTTTAAGGGAATTATAATTATTTTGCACCGTTAAAATAAGACCTTCTCCATTGGAAAATAACGATGCAATAATCATCTTATACTTCACACCACCCCTTTTTAAACTGGTCTTTCGTTTGTTTAAATGAGTCGATGAGAGAATTTTATAATTTTTTTATCATCTTCAGTATAATTTTCAGGGTCTTTAGAGAACAATAATTGAATAATACCATTTGTTAACGGAAACTCATTATCATTTACATATATAATAGATTTTTGAACGTTAAACTCAATGTATGAATCACCAAATTTTATTTTACCAAAAGATGATTTTTTTGAAGCATAAATTTTATCTAATTTAGATGATTGAAACCATGAATTAATAGATAAATTTTCAGGAGAAATATATTCTTTCTCGGTGTGATAAACATCTTTGGTATTATTCAAAGTCTCAGCGGTTTTAATGTTAATATCTTATTTAGTCTTATAATATTAATTATTTATACTAACTAAATTTTCAAGTGGTTCTAAATTTTGTCTAATATATTTTTCTGTGTTAAAATCATTTTGTTTAATTCCGTATATTTTCGTCTAATGTTTTCACGGGCTTGTATTAATTCAGTGAGTAATTCATAACTTTTCGCTGCCATGTTTAATGGCAATAATGGATACTTTGAATAATAAACATAGTCTATATAGTTATAAAAGTGTCAACAATTAACCTAAAACGACCGTTGTCCCGTGGACAATCTTTACTTATAACAAAAAAATTATATTTCACCATGTTCCACCATTTCATACATAATTGATTGAATTCCACGTAGCTGATATCACTGAATAAATGGTCGTTATAAACATGTTTTAAATTAGTCTCGTCTTGTTTAAATGGTATTATGAAACTCGCATTGTCTTGTAATAATCGCTTATCTAAATAACTATTATGTATATATTTGTTATATTTTCTGTTGTAACTCATATTAATTGTTGAGCCATACTATTTTTAAATAAAGTCTATTTAAAAAAAAATAAAAATAATAACTATAATTTTGTGCTTAATAAATTAAATCAATGTTATTGTGTGTACCTCGAGTAAAGTAAGTTTTCACATTATGTTGGTCATTGTGTCATTTATTAGAATGAAAAACTTCTTTATTTATTGCCAGGAAAACAACTAGTTGAAAGGTTAACATTAGTTGTGTCATATAATAATGTAAAACAACTAATCGATGAGCCTGAAATTTCTTTTGGTTCGGGAGAATGTCAAGCAGCAGCTGCCTTTTAAAATTTTAAGAAGCTGCAATTAAAATGGGCTATAACTGAAAAAGTAAAATCATTGTGTTGTGATTCAACAGCTTCTAATACAGCTAGATTTATAGGTTCCTGTATATTATTGGAGCAAATGTTGGGGTGTGATATTTTGTATATATCGTTTAGAAATCATTTATTAAAAATTGTATTAAAAAGTGTTTTTGAAATCAACAATATTCAATATTAAATAAATTTCAAAAGTCTTGGCAAAATATAAATAAAAAAAATTATTTTAAGTGGATTGGAAGATATTATTATTTAGAAAAATTACAAATAATAAAAGATGATATTTTGAAATATAATTTTGATCAATTACAACAATACCAACCTCAAGATGACTATAAGGAACTTTTAGAATTGATCATAATATTTGTTGGTGAAACACCTCTGAATGAGATTTATTTTAAACTTCCTGGGCATATTCATCATGATCGATGCATGGCCAAAGCCCTTTATTGTTTAATAAAAATATTTTTGTTTAGAGACCAATTTGTATTAGCAATCAAAGAATTTAACGATATTCGTTTGTTGTTTATTTTTATTATAAGTGTATATATTAAACAATGGTTTAGTTCATCTAATGCTGCGTTAGCATCAAGAACCCCTGAATATTATTTTAAAATTGAGTAGAGTATAGAATACATAGTCGTCCGACTGTCATCGGACACAGGAATGTGCTGACCAAGGGATTAAGGGCAACCATGGGCAAAGGACTCCCACTGTAGGTACCCTACAGTCAGTCGTGATTTAGTATGCGCTAGTTACACTCATTCTACTTCATTCTACATCATTCTATATCATTCTATGTCATTATTCTATTCATTTGTATTAATATTAATAATTAACGTGGTATTGTATTATTTACTGTTCAATCAAATTTTATATTCTACATTTCTATTGAAAAGTGAGTGTTTTCGTTTTTTTTTTTTATTAAGTTTAATTCCTTTACCACAACAATATTAAACAATGGTTTAGTTCATCTAATGCTGTGTTAGCATCAAATTTAGATATACAATTTATAGAAAGTATAATTGAATATGAAACTATAGATATAGTTGTACGCACAAACGTGTACTTTTAAGTTTAAATGGAATTTATGAATATAAAAATAAAAATATTGAAGACTTCATTTCAGCGGAATCAAAAAAAAAATGTTTGAAAGATTTGAAATTGAAACTGATTTTTTAGATTTAGATACTTTATTATAGAAAGACAACAATCAATATAGAAAAGGAAAAGAAATTGTAAATAATTTAAAAGTCGTTAATGATTTGGCAGAGAGGGGTGTGAAGCTCATTGAATAATATAATAGTATTTTAACAAAAAATGAAGCATAAAAAAAATATCTACTACAGATTGTTACACAATATCTGCGTTGTTTTCCTAATTGCAATAAGAGTATTTTAAATCAAAAACGAGAAATTTTCTGAATATCTAGTTTATTTTAGCTTCGATGCGAAGCTGAAAAGGTATTGGTTTTACTATGATGTTTTTTTTTTGTCTGTTACCACTTTTTCTCAGGTCTTACCGAACGGATTTTTTTCAACGATACGTTAAA